TGGAAAACTCCAGTAGACGGCCGCCGGGACCCTGCCTGGACGGGACCCTCTGCCAGCAAGGCACAGCGTCCTGTACGTTCTCAGAAAGTAGCTGCCCACGCGGAGTCTTTCTGTAACAGGAGCGCGGAGGCACAGCATCCCGGGTCAGCCGTATTCCTTCAAGTAGCTTGGAACAGCAATGTGGACGCGGGGAGAAGTACCCCACTAACCCCTCCATGAAGCCTTTTTTTCCTCTGTGCGTCCTGATCTCCAATTCCGAGAAAATAGTCAGGCTGAGTTTTTCGGAAGCATGCCTTCTCTAACAGAACCTCTGAGGCAACCCCACATAGACCTCTGAGCTGTTTTTTGGGAAGCTCCGACCCACAAATCACCTAAGTCCGCCCCATCTACATTTTCCCACTACTAAGGAATGGCATTTTCCCTAGAAGCAAAGCAAATGAAAACCCTGGGGACGGGGAGGGACTAATTAATTGACACTGAATCCAGTGAATGATTTTTCTTTCCTGTTCTTCAATCCGAATCTCAAATAATCATCTTCGCTTAGCAGGAGCCCAGGCCTTCCACTAGATGTGAATATAGCTACTGTGCATCTCCTCATTAAAGTTCCTAACCAGGTGGCAAGGAGACTTTTCATAGGCTCATTGCACCCTAGAGACAGCGAGGGGCTGCAGGTCATAAAGCGGGCCTGTTCAAGCTATGTCAAAACAGTCAAGTTATGACATGAAAACTGGAGGTATTGATTCAGATCTTTCATGTTTAAATAAACAGGGAGACATACTATTGAAATATCCAAAGAATTTTTTTTAATTGTAAACATTCTTCTCTCTGGGGCTCTATTTGTATTGGAGGTGTGGTAGACAAAATTAGGGATCTCAACTAGCTGTTTCCTGGTTTAAAAACAAAAATAACTGCCCCTCCTTAAGTTTCTGCTTCTCAGCTATGAAATAGAAAAAAAGAACTCAAGTCCCACTCAGACTGGAGGACCTCTGCCTGTGAAGGGACTGTGGGAATTGACAGAGTTTGGGGTGGAGAGGTGAAAGGGTGGAGGGTTGAGAAACGGAGAAGACACTGAGTTAGAGGCCCAAGATCAAGGTCTGCCTCTGTATCCTTATGTTCCCAAGCCTCAGTTTCTGCTTCTGTAAAATGGGATAATATTGATCTCATAGAGCTGCTTGGAAGAATAAATAAAATAACATGTGGAAATGGTTTATCATTATTAGCTTTTCTTTCGCATGGGCCAAACTGAAAGGAGACCTCAGCAAGGAGGGCAGGGGTCCAGCTTGGGCTCCAGCCCTACAATGGGTATGAGAATCCCCATGGCCACTGGATTTCTTGACGTGTGAGTTTAGCTGGCTCATTCTAACTCTTGGCAACATCCAAGGGGAAGTGAGAGTCCACCGCAGCAGGGCCGTCTCAGTCCCTGTTTGCTTTGGCCACATTGTGATGGCCTTGCTGGTCTTGCTGGCTTTGCAAACAGGATTTTGGTGTTTGCTCTCCCGCTTGGCATGACTGCTGAGGCAGCTGGCATTCTGCTCCTGATTACCAGGATTCTGGTCCTGATTACTAGAACCAGAACACCAGGCTGGCTCCAAGCTGGTGTTGCTCCAGGCAAGAAGAACATCTCAGTGCTGCCTGCTTCCTCCAACATCCTGCTACTTCTGCCCCTTTCTCAGATGAACAGGTCCCATTTCATTATCGTAATGACTCCTAGGCTTGTGTAAGTAGGGCAGAGGAGGGGTACCTCAGTCTTTCCTTGTTTTTTTTTTGTTTTGTTTGTTTTCTGCAGTATTAGAAATTGAACCCAGGGCCTCATGCATGCCAGGCAAATATTCTACCACTGAGCTACATCCCCAACTCCAGCCTTTCCCCCTTTAAAATGGCTGCCCAAGGAGTACAGAACCAAGCACTAAGAGGAATCAGGAAGTAAGCCAAGAAAAGAAATGAAATAGAGAATCCAGGCACTGATCCGTGATCTTAAAAGGATTTGCTTTGCTTTCCCACATTTCTTTTCTCATGTTTTCTGGGGTCAATGATAGATATGGGAGCAAAGGGGAAGGGAGGTTCTTACTGAAGTTCACCTCAGACCAGTCAGAATTCTCATGGGGAAGAGCTGTGGTGGGAGCATGATTGGCAGGAAGAACATGTGCTGAGATCATCCCCTCCCACCCTGAGGCAACTCCTGGAGCCACTAGTCCCTCCCCAGCACACAGTGTGCATCCAAGAGACGTGAAATACCCTCCACATGACACATTGCCTGTTTGGCTTTCCCAGGCTGCTAGTTAATAACTTAGAATCATGGCTGGAGAGAGCGAAATAATTGAAAGTAATGCTTAGTCAATTGCAGTTTCAAGGTCTTCATTGCCTTCCTAACAATTTGCAAAACCCATTTTATTGCATTTTTAGATTCCTCAAGTTGAAATACCACTGTGTGCTGTAATTAAGCTAAGTGACATGCCAGCTGTAAAGACAAGGGCTGTGAATGATTACATTTAGCTCATGTAATCATCCAGTATGGGTGGGGGAGGACATTTGGAACAGCTGCCAATCTGCCAGACTTATACTCCCGGCCAGGGTAGAAGGAAAACTGGAATCTGCAATCACCCTTTTAAGGCTAACAGAAGTTACCCGGCCTGTTTGAAGTGGGTTGGGGTTATCCAGTGTGGGGTGAGCCATGCATCAGTATCCCCTAGGGAAGATTTATTTATATTTATTTAGGTGTTGTGGATTGAACCAAAGGACCCACTCAAGCTAAGCACCTCTCTATACTCCCAGTCCAAGTAACTTCCTCTCCTCCAAATTGGTTCATCTGATCTAGGGAGAACCACATGTCTTGAGAGTTGCCCAGATAGTTCTGAGTCTAGAGATCAGGAAAACCTGTCCAGTCCAAAATAGATAGTTTTAACAACCTGGTCTTCAGGAACATCACTTTTATTCTTGGAAACTTTTCCATCAGTGGTGCTCTTTTAAATCCATCTGGGGATTGGAACTCGTTCAACTGCTTTATGAAACAAATAACCCTGATCTCTATTCCTCAAAAGTTCCTTCTCCCAAAGTTCTTGTTTTCTTTCAGGGGGCTCCATTCTTTTGGAGCCCTTCCTTTCCCTCCACCCTTCCACTCAGCTGCCATGTCCCAGCTCTCTGATGTTTTTGTCATCTGCTTCTTTGTCATTTTCTTTTTATTCTTCTGATTTATTGGGCTGAGGATATAGCTCAGTTGGTAGAGTGCTTGCCTCACATGCACAAGGCCCTGGGTTCAATCCTCAGCACCACCAAAAAAAAAAAAAAAAAAAAGTTGATTTATTGAAACACTTCTGCCTTCTTTCCTTTCTAGTCAGTCATCCTGTTTGGTGCTGCAAGCGCTCAAAGGCAGGAGCACCTTATGAACCTCCCAACAGCTCTCTGACCCTGGATCTCTTCCCCTTGCCAATCAGCCATTCCTCCATCTATACAGACTCATCTTCTTAACACAAAATAAAGTCTCTCCATTCAAAATCATTCAGTGGTTTCCTATTTCCTACTGAATTAGGCAGTCACTTCCCAGGGTAACATTTTAGATCTCCACAATATTAACTCATGCAGCAACCATTTACTGAATAATGTCCTAGTTACTGGGTTAAGAGGAATAAAACATATAAAAACACGATGCATTCTAGTAGAGAGAGACACACACACAAACAAGTAATTATCATATGGAGCAGTAATGGTGATTGAAAGAGAGGGTCCCTGGGTCTCTTAAACCATCTTTCCATCTTCATCTCCCAATTTTCCTTTCTAATTTGGCTAAGTTGGACTAGATCTTAGGTCTTTATCACATTGATGGCAGTTTTTATTTTATTTTAGGTCCATATACCAGTCCACACTTCATATCCACTTTTTAAAATCCCCTGCTACCTTGAAGATCACCTCCTCAATGAAGTGAACTTCAGTCATCAGCTGCGTAGGACAGTGTTTCCTTCTCCTGTACTGACACTCTGTTAGTGCCACTTAGCTTAAGCTAGTTATATAAGGACCTGTACATTCCACAGAAGCAAGAACTGCTGCAAGCAGCCTTTGTCTTCCATCAGGAAAAACAGACAGTTGCTCTACATAGCCCTTTGGGTCAGCAGACAGCAGGTAGGTAGGGCTAGGAAGGTAGCCAGACATTTTGCCTTCTCATTGGGTAATCAGAGCTGTTAAGAATCTCCAGGTAGGACCTGCTACATAATTTGGCAGGCCCAGGGAAAAATGAAAGTGCAGAACTTCTTGTTCATAAATTATTCAGAATTTCAAGAATTAAATAGAACATTAAACCAAGTACAAGACTCTTTTATGTGTGAGCCCCTAAGTGACTGCACAGATTGCCTGTCCATGAAACTGGCCCTGTCTCTAGGAGCAAAGATACTGGCACCAAAATGTCCCTTAGAAAACCAAAAAAAATTGTGATTTTACCTTATTAAGTGAGTTCCTTTTCATCAGTTCAGGATGCCTGGCTGGCTAAAACTAGTGATGAGGGAAGAAAGGGGAGAGATGTAGTACTTCCTGCAAGTCTTATATCATTTGTTTAGGCTAAGCTGTGCTCTATGACAACTTTATAGTATCAAATACCTTGGATAATTAAGGTCTTTTGCTTGAGGGGTTCAGTGGAGTTCAAGTATCCCAGACTTTCCCAACATCCTTGATACCAGACATTCATTTCATTGGGAATCCATAGGCAAACCTGGATCACCACTGTGAAGCAAGTGCTGGTCTTCAGATCTCACTTCTACTCTCCCCATATTCCCCCTGCAAAGCTGTCATGTGGGATCAACTCAGAAAGAGCAATGAGGCAAAAATCTTGAATCATACTCCTGGAGAGTCAGAAAGTTAACTGTCAGGTAAGGTGAGATATTATACCTATGCCCTTCTGATGACTAATCTGGATTGTCAACTTTAGTGGGTTTAGAGATGCCTAGGAAACACCTAAGATTAAGAGACTTCCACCTGTATCTGTGAGGGTGTTTCCAAAGATGACTGACATGAGGAACAGCAAATTGAAAGGGCAGACCCACCCTGAATGTAGGAAGCATTGTCAAATAGGCTGGGTACCCGGATGGAACAACAACAACAACAAAACTAGAAAGAAGAATCTGCAGCAGATGCAAGCTTAATTCTTCTTGAGAAGCCCAATTGTTCTTGGGTGGGTATCTATTGCTGCTACCATCACCTGTAGACATCAGACTATATCTCCTTCAGTCTTCCAACATAGATTCTCACCAGCAACTCTCCAGGGAACTTCCAGGTCTTCATCCTCAAAATAGGGCTCCATTGTTGGTCCCTTTTGCTCTGAGGCTTCTAGCTTCTTGGGCCGAACAGCTACTGGTTTCTCTGGCTCTCCAGCATGCAGATGGGCCACTGTGGGACTGTCCAGCTTCTGAATGTGTAAGTCAAGCTAATAAATACCATATTATAACCATATATATATATATATATATACACACACACACACACACACACACACATCTTGTTGGTTCTGTCCCTGTAGTGAATCCTAACTAATATATCTGGACAGAGATGGAGGTGCCATTGTACTCCAAAGTAGGCTGTCTTGGGCTCTGAGCTCCCAGTCCAAGAATTTCTGAGACTCCTGACATATTTTCAATAGATTTGGAGCTTCCTTAGTAAGGAGTGATCAGAAGAACTATCTTCCCACTTCCCATTCCCATCCTCTCTCTGGATCAGGCTCTTTGTGCTGGCATTGAACACAACAATTTATTTTATTAATGTATACATGAGGGGAAGGCATATAATTTCTGCAAGTCAGTGGAAGAAACATCTACGGGCACTTTCACCTCACCTCTGTCTTTGCCAGCAAGATTGAACTGGGTTGGAATGGGAAGTAGCAAGATGATGTCTGGGCACTGAGGTGGTGGGGATTTGGGCTGGCTGGAGTGAGAGGAGGCCTGATCTTTCACTGGTAGCAGCTGCTCCAGTTCTGCCACATGTTCAGTCCTATTCCTGATTTTTATCTTTAGAGATGAAGACCAACTGGCACAGGCCTGTTGGAGGACTGAGGGCTTTGGACTCCTGGAAATCATGAGCCCTCTAAAACACTCCTCCCCCAAGTTGCTCTGCTTGGGGGAAGTGTTCTGGATGAGAATGCAGAGGAGTGCCACTGCTGAGGCAATTGGGATGTGAACTGGGGCAGCACCAATGACATCTAGAAGTCATGGTCCTGTATTTTGGGAGGACACAAAATACAAGGCTATTGGCCTTGGTGGTGCTAATGGGAGGTATTTATCAGACCAGGATTTCTATATGAGGAAATGAAACTTTGGGTTAGTTTTGTGACATTATATACATTGTGGGAAGGACAAATAATTTCCTGGTAGTAAGAGGTGGGAAAGGAAAAAAATGGTAGAGAGATCCAATCTGATTCTGGAAGGAAAAAAAGAAGATGTCTCTTAGATTTTCTTTTATAATGGCCTCCATAATGTTAAAATTAATTAACTCATCATCACCATTCCTACCTAGTGGGTCAGGAGGTGCTTAGATGATTCACATCCACAATCACCAGACATTCCTTTTACCTGTATAACATTCGTCTTCCTTCAGCCTTACCAACCCATATATTTGATATGGATCATTTAAGAGCAGCCAAGATGGCTGGCTGGAGACAGTATGGGATAGTGGTTAAAAAGCTGTGTGCAGTATGGCACAGGAGTGTAGGCCTGGAATCCCAGCAGCTTGGGAGGCTGAGGTGGGAGGGTTGCAAGTTCAAAGCCAGCCTCAGCAACTGAGTGAAGACCCTAAATAACTTAGCAAGACCCTGTCTCAAAATAAAATAAAAAATAAAAATAAAAAGGGCTGGGGATGTGGCTCCGTGGTTAAGCACCCCTGGGTTCAATTAAAAAAAAAAAAAAAGAAAAAGAAGCTATGTGTGTGCCCTTGGCTAAATTACTTAACCTCTCTAAGTTTTGCTTTCCCTTATTTGAAAAAAAGGGAATAAAAATGCCCTGAGGACTGAGATAATTGTGCAAAGCTTTTAGGACACCAAAAGTAAGTGTGTCTTGGTTCAATCCATGCAAGGCTCAGCAGCAGCAGCAACACAATATCATCATCATCATCATTGTCACCACTACCATCATTAAAGCTATCCTCTCTACCAAGACTTAGTTATCCTCAAAATCTTACAAAATTGGTTATTTAAGCCCTAGAGTTCAACTCTTGTACAGATCTGCATCCTGAGCTCAGTGACCAACCCATTGTAAAAGTGCATCCAAAGGAAGGATAATGAGATTATAGTGACTTCAGCAGAACAATGGAAGATTTTTTCAGGACTCTATTCCTTACATGAGTCAGGACAGACTTTAAGTTTGTGGCAGGGTGATAAAGAGGAGGAAACACTGGGCGATTTGTTCAGAGTCTGTCACACACATGAGGTTGGGCAAATCATGTAATATTCTCAAACTTGAATTTCTTTTTTTTTAATCTTTATTTATTTTTATGTGATGCTGAGGATCAAACCCAGTATCTCTCACTTGCGAGGCAAGTGCTCTGCCACTGAGCCACAACCCCAGCCCAACCTTGATTTTCTTCATCTGCAAATTGGGGATCAGGTAACAACTTCTGCTTTGTCAACCTCATATCACTGAACAGAGGAATCCTGAGCTGTGGTATGTAAACTTGTTACGTGGAAGGCGTTTTTACTACACTCAAGAAAACCCCTAATCCACCACATGGACTCTCTACCGCCCTTTCCTTCTTTCATTCAACCATCATTTATTATGCAATAGCCCCTTTCTCAAGCTTCATCCTGATCCATTTATAAATCAATGCAAACCCAAGATACCTGTTCAAAGGACAAATTCCTAAGGTCATGTTCCAGACCTCTGGTCAGAATTTTCAGGGGTCTGGCTTGGAAACTCTAGGTATAACAAAGTTCCCCACATGATTCTGGTCCTGTGGGATGTTTGGAAAAGAACAGACCCAGTTCTTTTGGCATGGTAAAAGGATTATCAGAGGAGCTTCATTCAAATACAGATTCCTGGGCCTGTTACTTAGGACCTACATATTCAGAATTTCGAGGTAGGCCCAGTGTTATGCAATTTTACAAATACTGAAGGTGATGCCTGTGGGCTACTATTTACTCACAGGCTCCCCCTGCAGTGTGAGCTACTGGTCACCAGGGGGCCAAGTCGGTGTTTGGTGACATGGTGCTTTAGGCTACAGAGGGAGGTGACTCAAATGCATGGCCTTCTTCCATAGACAGCCAAAAGCAGGGCATCCCTCTTCTCCAGGCAACACTATTTAATAGAGTTCTCCTGTGTATGTAGGACCTGCCTTCAGAATCCCTAAAGTTCTGACAAGGAGCCTCTTACTACCTCCTCAGTCTTTTTACACATGGTATCAAGCCGGTTCCATGGGCCTGTTTTTCTGTCTCCTGCCATTACAAGGTTAGCTTTTCGAGCAAGTGATTTAGGCTGGAGCCAGACTGGCACAGTCTCGAAGGATGTGAAAATCAAGTCCTCAAAGTCAGTCTGATTCTTTCTCTTTCTGGGACCTGAGTTTATGACTTTCTCAATGTTAGCCATAAGTGAAAGGCAAAACAAAGTGCACTTTGTAGTGAGGACAGTTCAATCTTAACAGAAATACATGACACAAGGGGCTCACATTTTGATAGAGGCAAGTCTTGATGGTTTATTTGCCTGTATGTCTGTATCAATCCATCTACCCTCCTATATACTCAACATTTCAGAAAGAGTGAGAATATACCTGCTAAGATACCAACATATTCTGGGAATATGAATAGCCTACCTAGTTCCTTTCACATCCTTTTTGGCCAGAGATCAGGCAGTGGCTGTATGCTTCTTGCTCCTGTATATGGGGGTTCCTCATAGCACCTGTATGGCTCCTGCAAGGCCTTGGATCCAGTCGGGCTGGAGTGGCAACCACCAGAAGGTCCTTCAGAGAATAGTCAGAGCTGTGAGGGTTCTGCAAGAGGAGGAGGGAGGGCACATCCATCTGCGTCTTCTCACCAGGGCTGTGGCTAAAGGAGAAGCCCTTCCTTGGCAGGAAGGATTTTTCTGGAAAGGCAAAGTCATTGGCATCATCAGTCTGTGCTGCTGGATTTGGCACTAATTCCTAGCAAAATGCACCTCCAACTAGGGTCTTGTGGCCCCAAACTGACTGAACCAGAATCACTTGTTGCTCCTCTCCTCCAAATTGTTCCTCTTCCCTATAATTGGTACAAACTCATCTGAACAAGAATCAGGAAGTGTCAGAGAGGGTCCTCAGATTCAACATTCTATTCGATCCTTTGTCTTCTTAAGCGAGAGATTCCCTAAGAGTACCAACGGATGGATTTCCCTGAGGGCAGAGTCTAAGAACCCTTCTCATGGCTGGGGATCCCCAAAAGTTAGACTTGGTTTCGTTTGTTTCTCTCTCCCCTGAGGCTACAGTTTGGATATTGAGCGTCCCCCAAAGGCCCATGTGTTAAAGGCTTGGTCCCCAGGGTGCTGCTATTGGGAGGTGGTAGAGTCTTTAGGAAGTAGGGCCTAGTGGAAGAGCCTTAGGTCACTGAGAGTATGCCCTTGAAGGGAACTGTACAACTTTAGCCCCTTCTTCTTCCTCTTTTTGCATTCTAGCCACAAGGTGGCCAGTTTTGCTCCACCACATGCCCCCCACCATTGTCATCCAATGCCCATACCCAGAGGTCTAAAAGCAATGTGTCCCTCGATCATGGACTGGAACCTTTAAAAATAAAACTTTTCTCTTTATAAGTCAGTGATTTCAGGTATTTTGTTATAGTAAAGGAAAGCTGATTAACACGCCTAAGCTCCTGACACACCCCTGCATACATTGGCACTCACGTGACATGTCACTCAGCACCTGCTTCGGGCTGCAGTAAGCTGGGAACAAGGAGAGCCTCCCTCTTAAAAGAAGCTTTGCCAATAGCTCTGACACCAGATGCTTCTCCTTCATGTCATTCTTTAGCAAAGCCCAGCTTGGGTTCAAATTGTGCGAGAAGCTCCAGGATTTTGTAGGCACAGAAGGTTTTGATATGTTCTCCTGGATGAGCTTCTGGGGAATCTGCTGCTGCTTATATTTAAAGGATACTATCCTGACAATTTCTGGGCTGCTGCATTCAGAGTTGGTGGTCAGTGTCAGGCTTGGTAGCAACTCTGGAGAGGTTGAGTCCCAGGTGGTAGATTCAGGGGTAGTTTCTACTGAGGTTAAGGGCTGAAAGAGAAAACAGTCTAAATTGAAATTGTAGAAAGCAAAGGCCTCCTTCTTCTGCTATTCTTGAATGAAACAAACAGTAATGATTAAAATAGTAAATTAAGAGTGGGATTCAGCCTCAACAAGAAAGATTTAGGTTAGAAGAGTTTCCTAGCCACAATTGGTTAAACACTAGGGCAAAAGATAAGACGATGGGGAAAATATACAGCTTCCTGTAGAGGTCTTTAAACATGAGAAATTGTAAATACTAGAGATTGCAGATCAGAAAAAATAGGTGTTGTTTTATAGCTATCAGACTTGCAAAAATTAGAAAGCCAAATAATACCACTATTGGTGGGTATGGTGAATGCACAGGAACCCTCTGCTGCTAAGAATATAGACTGATAAGGTCATTTCATACCATTTAGAAATAATTGACATAGTGAGATACAAATATCCTGTTACCTAGCAATTTTGCTGCTAGGCTTATATACTAAATAAGTTATTAGATAACTCTTTAAAAATTATGTACACAATGGGGCTGAGGCTATAGCTCAGTGGTAAAGTGTTCGCCTTGTATGTGTGAGGCACTGGATTCAATCCTCAGCACCACATAAAAATAAATAAAGATATTGTATATTCATCTACAACTAAATAAACATTTTTAAAAATATGTGCACCAATATTCCCAACAGCATTTTCCACCAAAAGGTGGAAACAGTTCAAATGTCTACCAACAAGTGAGCGCGTAAATAAAACATATACATAGAATAAAATCTTATTCAGTCTTAAAGAGAATTCTGATGTATGCCACAATCTCAATGAACCTTGAAAAGATCATGGAAAGTGAAATAATTTAGACATAAAAGTACAGATATCATATGATTCCACTTATGTAAGGTAGCTAGAGTAGTCATATTCATGGAGACAGAAAATAAAGTAGAGGTTATCAGGAGCTGGGGGGAAGGAAAGAATGGAGAGTTATATTTACTGGGGACAGAATTTCTGTTTAGGGTGATGAAAAAGTTCTAGAAATGGACAGTAGTGACAGTTGCACAAATTAATGACTAACCTTAATGTCATGGAACTATACATTTATAGTGCTTAAAATGGTAATTTTGTTTTGTTTTGTTTAGGGGATGCTAGGGATTGAACCCAGGGGAACTTTATCACTGAGGTATAACACCAGCTCTTATTATGTTTTATTTTAAGACAGGGTCTCACTAAGTTGCTAAGACTGGCCTCAAACTTTTGATCCTCCTGCTTCTGTCTCCCAAGGAGCTGAATTATAAGCATACACCACTGTACCTGGCTTAAAGCAGTAAATTTTATGTTATATATATTTTATCAGAATTTTAAAAACAGAAGGATATTCACTTTAGTATTATTTGTAGTGGGACAGAACTGAAGGCAACCTCCATGTCCTTACTTTGGAAAATTGATATGATGAAATGGATGGTTGGAAATTATTCTTGGGGGGAACAAAGGAACTGCACTTATTTGCAGCTTTGCAGCCTTTTATCCAGGGATACCCTTAATCCACATGGCTTGGGCAACAGAAAGCCACAGCCTTACAATATAGAGAAGCTAGAGAAATGGGGTAAATTGTGAAAAGGGGAAATCTTTCATGTGCAACATGACTGTCTAATAAACTACACATACCGAAAGCAGGGGGGCGGGTGATGAAGAGGAAAGGCCTCCAGGGGACTCAACAAATAAGCAGCACCGGAGACTGAACTAATTAAAGAGATTTCAGTTGCTGCTGATCACAGTAGATTCAGAATTGGGATTAATGTACTATCCAAATAAAAATCACTCTTTAGAGGAACAAATAGAATCCAGAGACTCTACAATGAGTCACAGCATCACATATAATTTATAATGTCCAGCATCCAAATGAAACAGCCAGAAATGCAGAGAAACAGAAAAATATAATCCACACTCAAGAGAAAAAGTAGTTAATAGAAATTGACTCTGAAATGACCTAAATTCAGTGGTTCATCAATATATAAAGACTTGAAAGGAGGCATTATAAATATTGTCAAGGAGTTAAAGGAACATATGCATGAGAATTTTTTTTAAAAAATTGTGAATCTAAGCATAGAAACCAAAACTATAAAAATTATTTGCATTATATATAATTATAATGTACCAATTAAAAAAATAATTTAGAGTGGTGGTGGACATCTGTAATCTCAGTTACTTGGGAGACTGGGGTAGGAGAATCACAAGTTCAAGACCAGCTTGGACAATTTAGGGAGACCCTATCTAAAATTAAAAAGGACTGGGTGTATAGCTCTATGTATCACTGGGTTTAAATCCTCAGTACTGAGGGGGAAATATATATATATATATATATATATATATATATATATATATATATATATATATATATATCCAATCTGAAGAAATAAATAGAAGCAAGACTGAAGAAAAAATAAATAGAACCTAAGAAGTCTATGAGAGAATATTATATGATTTAATATACATGTTCTTTTTTAAAATATACATGTTCCTAAAGGAGAAGAGAAACAAAATAAGGTAGAAAAACTGTTTGAATATTAAACATAAACTTTTCAAATTTGGTAAAATACCTGAACTTACAAAACCAACAAGCTCAAGAATCCCAAATAGAATAGCTACAAATAAAAAACATGCCTAGACACATCAAAGACAAATTGTTAAAATTCACAGATAATGACATATTATATACAAGGCATTGGTATGAATACAGTTGATTTCTCATTTCATTTTGTTTATTTTAATGTTTTTGCTACTGAGGACTGAACCCAGGTATATTTTACCACTGAGCTACATCCCCACCCCACTTTTTAAAAAATATATATTTTATTAGTTGTTGTTGGACCTTTATTTATTTTTATGTGGTGCTGAGAATCAAACCCAGTGCCTCACACATGCTAGGCAAGCACTCTACCACTGAGCCACAACCCCAGGCTCATCCCCAACCCTTTTCATTTTTAATTTTGAGACGGGGGTCTTGCCCAGGCTGATCTTGAACTTGCCACCAGGTCCAGCTGAGTTCTCATGTTTAAATAAACCAGAAGATAATGAAACAACATCTTTCAAGTGCTGAAAGGAAAAAAAAAATGAACCTAGAATTCAATTCTAGGTCCCCCCACCCCACAAATCCTTCAAAATGAAGTCCAAATAAAGACATTTTCAGATAAACAGAAATAGAAAACTTTACCAGCAGGTAAATGTGCACCATAATAAATAATAAAGAGAGATTTTGCAGGCTAAAAAATAACTTTAAAATATACATCCTTTTTAATATTACAACCTTTTAAAGCAAGAATTTTAACACTGTATTGTGTGATTTATAATGTATGATAACAAAATATAGTTTTCTATATTTAAAATTAAGTACAACATTAGATACACATTTTTTTATAATTTCTTTTAAAGAGAGAGAGAATTTTAATATTTATTTTTTAGTTTTCGGCCGACACAACATCTTTGTTTGTATGTGGTGCTGAGGATCGAACCCGGGCCGCACGCATGCCAGGCGAGTGTGCTACCACTTGAGCCACATCCCTAGCCCCATTAGATACACATTTTGATAAGCCAAAGATGCTTATTGAAATCCCTAGAACAACCACTGAAAAAAGGCAAAAAGTTATAGCTAAAAGGGCAATCTAGAGTTGAGATTTATAAATATCTAATTTCAATTTAACCCAAAAGAAGACATGAAAGAAAGGATGCAGGGGAAAAACAACAACAAAAAAAATTAATAAAAAAAACCAATAACAAAATTTCAGCCCTAACCATAATCATATTAATGACATTAAATGAAAATGGAATTAAAATTCTAATTAAAAGGCAGAGCATGGGACTGCAGTTGTGGCTCAGCGGTAGAGCATTCACCCAGCATGAGCAAAGCCCTGGGTTTGATCCCCAGCACCACATAAGAAAAATAAATAAATAAAATAAAGGTATAAGAATAAAAGACAGAGCTTGTTACACAGAAAGCAAGACTTACTTATACCTGTCTAAAGAGAGAGCCTTTAAATACTCAGTAACTGCAGAATACACTTTTTTTTTTTAGTGCACATAAAACATTCACTAAAACAAATTGGTGGACCATAAATCAAGGCTTTTGTGTGTGTGTGTGTGTTTATGAAATGCTAGGGATAAAACTCAGGCCTCACATATGCTAAGCGAGTGCTCTACTACTGAGCTACACTCTTAGCCCTATATTTTTCTTTCCAAAATCTGGGCTTGGGATGTAGTTCAGTGGTACTGTGCTTGCCTACCATGTCTGAGGCCCTGGGTTCAATCCCAGCACCACATTAAAAACAAAAAACAAAACAAAAACACCACCAGAGGGGTTCCAAGATGGCCGGCAAGAGGGAGGCTGCATTCTGTGTCACTCTGTGACCTGGGATTCGAGTAGCGGGAATATTGTTTCTCTGTGAGTTATTAGAGAAACCCCAACAGCTGCTCCCACGCAGGAATCACGGCTGCCATGCCTGCACAGGAACTCCGGCCACTGCTCTCATGTGGACTCCCATCTACCAAAGTGGAGCTTCCCTCAGTTGCCTCCATCTTGGGACACTACAACCACCACCATAGTCCTCTACACACTGTAGCCTGCACCTGGGGACAACACACAGGGTCTGGAGACAACCACCAGCCACAACATTGCATGCCACAGAGCTACATCTCTGAACATGCCGCCCACTGCCACCACCTAGCCCCACCCAACCCAACACCCCAAAGCTAAAAGCAGCTGCCTCCATTCTGGGACACCTTAGTCACCATCTTTAGTTGGGGCAACCCCCAGCTTGGAACACCAGCTGGGGCTTAGAAGCAATATCAAGGAGAGATAATAGAACCCTGCAGGGACACTACAAGCCTAGAGGGTAAAAACTATAATGCCCCGAATCCACAGTGCTAGAAGGGAAGACATATGAACAACATGAAAAAAACAAGGGAAAAACGTGCCCCAAACAAACCAAGATACAATGTTATTAGAATCCATGGCCAGCACAACAGAAGAA